TATTATGCACTACTTAATGACATTTCGGCTGGGACAAAAGCAGCTGTATGTAAGAGAGAGGTCTTTGCTAATTGGAGCCAGGTTTGTTTGACTGTATAGTATTAAAACAGTTTGAGAAACCGTTGTCGTATGACCTACAAATATTAAAAACAATTACATTATTAATATAATTATCACTATTATTATTACAATGTGGTTACTATTAACGATACAATCCTTCTAAAACAGATAATTCTACTCTAACAAACAATATTGACTCTATACAGTGTGTATGTAATACAACATTAATGATTGATCAGTTCATGTGAATCGTTATAATATAGAGGTGACATTACAAAATTACTAAACTTCACCTAAAAATTATGATCAATTTTATTTTAATACTTAAGTTACTCACTGTTATTAAGTGTTATTAAGTGCACATGTACATTAAACTAGAAGTTTTTATTAAATGATAGGTCAACTATAATGCCTAATAAGAATACGTACATGTAATAACATTACAATAACAACTGGTATTACTATTATAATTTAGTTAACTGGAATAAAGTAGTAAAATTTAAATTGTAATTTTTAATTAGAATCAGCTGCATAAAATGTACTAAAATGAAAAATTCTTACCTTTTCAATCTTGGCAAAAATTTGGCTTGGTCTCAAATTTTGGAGAAATTTGAGACCAGGGCTTTGACCCAACTTAAAAAAATTTGCAAAAAAAATTCAATTTCGATCGGAATCAGCTCAAACTTTCTACACAACAGAACAACATATACATTGTATATTGTATACCAATTTATTTTCACAGTGAAAAATTTTTGGATTTTGCAGAATTAATTTTTGCAAATAGCTTGCAGACTGCAATACGTGGCAGAAATGCAATTTTTGTGGTGGAAAATTTTTGCAATGGAGCAAAAATGCAAAATTTGTGACAATATTTTACAATGAAAATAAACCGGTATATGGTATGCATTAGGAAAATTGTAAAAATGGAGGAATCTCTCTTTGTAATTTTAACAAAATTGGGTCAATGACTTGTAATGTAGTACATGGACTTAATTTGGCCCAATTTTGGAGCGAATCAAAAATTTATAAAAAATCCAATTTTGATCAGAATCAGCTCAAACTTTTTACACAACATAAAAACATGTACAATGTACATGTATATATATGCATCAGGAAAAATTGATGGAGTAATCTCTTTTGACAAAATTTGGCCAATAACCCTGTACTATAGTATAAAGACTTCGGCCCAATTTTGGAGAAACTTTAGAAATTCTAATTTTGATTGCAATTAGCTCAGACTTACACATATCAAGAAAAAATTATAAAAATGGATCAATCTCTCCTATTGATTTTTGATGAAATTTCGGCCAATGACCCTGTACTATAATAGTACATGTCAGGGACTTTGGCCTGATTTTGGGGTAACTTAAAAATATGTTAAATCTAATTCTGATCAGATTCAATTCAAACTTTCTATACCACAAGTACATGTATCAAAAATGAACAAATCTTTTCTAGTCATTTTTGATGAAATTTGGCATATGTACACATAATGCATGTCCATAGCATGTGGTTAAGCATTAATCAACACAAGCATAAGTACATGAACTTGCATAGCTAGCAATACAATTGGTGATCAATGGCAGTGAAATACCATATAAGCCACATATTTTGCGGGGATAAAATTTTGTGATTTTCGAGTTTTGAAAAAATTTGCAAAACTAAAATCTGCAAAACTAAAATCTGCAAAATAGCATGCTGATCATAGTAAATGCGGTAATTACATTAAAATCACGAAA